GACGGCACATAACAACAACAACATGATAAATCTGTCACTTTCCCTTCTGATATTCAGCTCTCATTTTATCCAGCATCAGAGAATATCTATTGTTCAGGTACTACTTAGAGAACAGTAGTTCTCAATCTTTTTTCTACTATTGCATACCTGACAAATAGAACACATTCCTGCCAGTGGTTCTCTGTGGCCCTTAAAAAGGGCAGAGAATGTACCAGAATTTCAAGGAGTGTGGGTAGATCTCCCTCAAATGATTTTGATAGGACACTCCCTCCAACCAATTTTGATTGAGAATCACTGGATCTAGCACCATTCATCTTAATTCTCTAGAGTCTATCTCTGTGTTAAGTTAAACTTTTTGAGAGTTAAGTTTTATATTTATTACATAATTATAATTAAAATGAAAATATACTCCTTTACAGAATTACCTACTAAGATATGACTAATGATTATATACTGATTATATACTGTAAGGCTGATGCTAGACTCAACTATCTGAAGAGCATTTATGTACCTTTAAAAAAAGAAAATTGCAGTTGAAGATATCAACCCACTTTGCTATTCTGTGTAATTTATACAGTAATTTCATACAATAAGTTCAAGATTGATTTTTGTTCAAGGAAAGAAAAATAACTCTTTCGTATGAATGTTTTCTCTGCCATAAGAGATATGTTTAGAGACTCAGAAGGCTTGATTTCTGTCATGGTCTTGCCTCTACTTAGTCAACGCAATAGACTAAAATACATCCAAGTTTGTTTTAACTTTAAAATTAAACATCTAATCAGCAAAAAATCCCACTTACTCCCAGAAAGCTCACAGAAATTTACTACTAAGTGGTAGTGGTTATTGACAGGTACCTAGTAACATTGACTTTTTCTGTTTCCTTTAAATATTCTATTTTGCTTTATCCATAAACAGCATATTGTCCACTATCCTTTTTACCCTGTAAACCACCTTAATCTACTTAAAAGCAAGTCGGATATAAAATCTAAACAAAAATATCATACTTCTAACATGAATTAGAGTTGGGAGTTAGAATGATAAATTTACCTTCTTTACGTTTGATTCCTACTTTTGTAACCACAAGCTATGAAAGTTTACAATTACTTGTAAGACAGCTGAGATATCTTAGACAATCTGTTTTAATGGATCAGTAACATATTAAAAGGAAGAAAAACATTCAATTACCATGTTTCCAGATAAACTCATCATTTCTATGATTAGCTCTTTTTTGTGTGTGAGATATGGGAAATTTTTGCTACAATTTGTGTTTCATAGGTATAAAACTAAGGTTGATAAACTACTCAAAGAGATCAAGTAATAAAATCTACTGAAAAGTAGCATTAGAAATTTAGGTATGACATAGTCAGTGGAAATTCATACTTTTCATAGATTATACACATATACAAAAGGAGCCTTGGTGGCTCAACGGTTAAGTGCTCATCTGCTAACTGAAAGGTTGACAGTTAGAACCCCTCAGAAGCACCACAGGAGAAAAGACTTGGCAATCTGCTTCCATAAATATTACAGCCTAGGAAACCCTATGGGGCATTTCTACTCTGTCTTATACAGTTGCTATCAGCCAGAATTGACTCAACTGCACACAATAACAAAAACATACATATACACACTAACATGTACATAAATATACAAGTGATTTCATTACTTGGTCTCTTCTAGTAGTTTAGTAATCTTAGTTTTGTATCTGGGAGCTCTGGTAGCATAGTGCCTAAAGCATTTGACTGCCAACCAGAAGGTTATATATAGGAGTGGGAGAGAGTAAGGGGGTAAAAAGAATCTTGATAAAGTCGAGCAATTCTTTTAGTACTACAGATCTAAAGCATCCATGAACTGCATTTTATTTCAGACATTGAATAATTTAATTTGTTCTTGTCCCTTTATCTTAGAGAAATCAGACCTAGTACTAAGATCTTCTTTTAATACACAAATATACATATTTTCCCCTTGACTCCTATAGTAACCCATTTTAGCTTTTTTTGAAGTATTTTTTTTCTGTACAATTTACATTTATTAAAAACAAACTTAGAAAACAAATCTAACTTAAAAATTTTTGGTAACTTTAAAGCTCTGTAAGTTCTATAGCTACTTCTCACTTTGAACAATCTGGGAAAATTGGTTATACTTTTTAGCTTGTCGATACAACTCTTTTCAACAGCGTCTCTTTGTTTGACCTACATTATTTGAGAATATTATTTTCTTCAGGAGTTAAGCAGACCTCTGTTCATAGGGGCTTCTCTCAATTAGTATCCTATTTTCTCTTTAAATTACACTTTACCCTTCAGTGATTTAGATATACTGAGAAAAAGGCAGAGGATATAGACAAGAAAGTGGTAGCTAAGTAAGAATAGAACCAGTCTTAGTAGCAGGATAGTCAGGAGTGAGGAAAGGTCCCCTGGTTCCTATCGTCCCTCCAAATACTTTCAAATAGACTTGAAAGTGTTTAAAATAAGGCCACAGTTAGACCTTCATTTCTTCTAGAATTAGTGCTCCATTCCCTTTGTTTGAGCCAAAAAAAGGCCTCCCACCTTAACTTCAATTTTTAAAAGCAAAATATTATCATCTATATTTAAAATATGTCAAATTAATAATATTCAAAGAGAAGAATAGCTGACTTACCTAGGATAGTTAATTCAAAATGTCCAATACTGCAGGCACTCTTAATATCCTCAAGTTTTGGGGACCCTTCTTCCGGGGGTATGTATTTTGAAGGTTGAGTATTATACTGCTGAGTAAGAAATGTACTGTATTCAGAATTAAATCTCCGTGGAATACTTTCAGGATAAACATGGCTGTAATGTAGGTGATCTAGTAGACCAAACTTTCTCTCTCTCCACAGCTGACTCTCCCACTTATGATTTAAAGTTTTTCTGGCTTTCCCTATGAGGTGAGGGCTTATGCTTTCTCGACCTGTTAAAGACACAAAGAAACAGACACAGTTGACCTCTACACTAAACAAAGTGAGTCATTTACTTTAAGAAAGCACATATTAATGAGAAATTGTTTAATTATCTTAAAATCAAATAATAATAATAATAATAATTTTTAAAAAATGCTATTGAGTCAATTCTGACTGACGGCAACCCCATTGGATTTCCAAGGCTGTAAATCTTTACAGAAGTAGATTGCCTCATGTTCCTCTTGCAGAGAACTTGTGGATTTGAACTGCCAACCTTGGGGTTAGCGGTCAAATGCCTTACCTACTATCCTACCAGAGCTAAATTGAGTATCCCAAAGAGTATTAAAGTGAAGAAAGAATTAAATTCATTTTCAAAAGACTCCAAAATATTAAAAGTGATAATGTTTTCTCTGTTATTGGAATTATGAAGATTTGTAATTATCTTCTCTATAATTTTTCTGTATTTTCTAAATGCTCTTAAATAAACATATATTACTTTTATATTCAGGAACAAATTCAAGTGAAATAAAATTCTTGAGAATAGAACCCTAGAACTCACTGCCACTGAGTCAATTTTGACTCATAGTGACCCTATAGGACAGAGTAGAACTGCCCCATAGGGTTTCCAAGGCTGTAAATTTTTATGGAGGCAGACCCAAAGCCTGGCAAAGGTACCACTAAAAAATAAAATTACAGACCTATATTCTAGTCAGCAGAATTCAACAGCATATCAAAACTATAATACATCATGACCAAGTGAGATGCATACAGGGATGCAAGAACAGTTCAATATTAGAAAATTAATCAATGTAATTCACCACATAAATAAAACAAAGGAAAAGAATCATACGATCAAATGCAGACAAAGCATTTGATAAAATCCAACACTTTTTCCTTTTAAAGCTCTTAGCAAAATAAAAACAGAAAGGAAATTCCTCAACGTAATTAAGGGCATATATGCACAACCAACTTCCAACATTATTCCCAATGCAAAAAGACTGAGACCCCTCCCCTTGAGAACAGGAATAAGACAAGGATACCGTTTATCACTCCTCTTATTCAAAATTATACTGGAAGTCCTAACTACAGCAATAAGGCAAGAAAGGAAAATAAAATGTATCTAAATTGGAAAAGAGGTAAAATTATCCTTACTCACAGATGACATGATCCTACAGATAAAAAATCTCAAAGCCTCCACAATATAGTTACTGGAACTAATAGAAGGGTTCAACAATGTGTTAGGGTACAAAATCAACACACAAAAATCAGTTGGGCTCCTCTATGCTAACAAGGAGGACTCTGAAAAGGAAATCAAGAAAACAATACCATTTACAGTAGCCTTCAAAAAGATAAAATACCTAGGGAAAAGCCTAACCAGGGACGTAAAAGACTTACAAAATCAAAACTAAAAAACACTACTGCAAGAAACCAAAAGAGATCTACATAAATAGAAAAACATTTCATGCTCATGTATTGGAAGACTTAACATTGTGAAAATGTCAATAATAACAAAAGCAATCTATAGATATAATGCTATACTGATCAAAATCCCAACATTCTTTAATGAAGCACAAAAACTAATCTCCAACATTATATGGAAAGGAAGGAGAGCCCAATAGCTAAAGCAATATTGAAGGAAAAGAATAAAGTAGGAGGCCTGACACTTCCCAATCTTAAAAGTTACTATACCAGAGTACTCAAAACAATGACAAACACATGGACCAATGGAATAGAATTGAGAACCCAGAAGTAAACCTTTCCTTCTATGGGCAGCTGATCATCAACAGAGGGTCAAAGTCCATTCAATGGGGGAAGAAACAGTCTATTTAACAAATGGTGCAGGCAAAACTGGATATCTATATGCAGAAAAATGAATCAGGATCCATACCTCACACTATGTACAAAACTAATTCAAAATGACTCAGAGGCCTAAAAGTTAAAGCAAAAACTGGTGTTCTTCTTTCCTTTATTTAGATCTAAATTCCCATTTAGAATTACAACTTTTCTTCAGACGAAAGAACTTCCTTTAATGCAGGTCTTCTGGTGATAAATTCTTTCAGCTTTTGTCTTTAATTTCAAAAAGATATATTCAGTGAATATAGAATTCGAGGTTTAAGTTTTTTTTTTCTTTCAGTACTTTTAAGTGTTGCTCCCTTGTCTCTTGGTTTACATACTTCCCGAAGAGAAATCATCTTTGCTCCTTTGCATGTAATGTGTCTTTTTTCTTTTCCTTTTGGTTTCTCTTAAGATGTCTTTGTACCACTGGTTTTCAGCAATTTGATTTTGATGTGTGTCTTGGTGTGGTTTTCCTCTTCTTAGAGTCTGTTGAGCTTCTTATATCTGTGAGTTTAAATTTTCATCAAATTTTAAGTTTTGGTCATTATTTCTTCAATTATTTTCTGTCCATCTTCCCCATTTTCTCCTTTTGGTGACTCCAATTACATGAATATTAGGTGGTTTGATACTTTTCCACAGGTTACTAATGCTGAGTTCATTGTTTTCCCATCTGTTGTTAGTTCTGTCCAGTGTATTTTTCATTTGAGATACTGTATTTTTCTTCTCTAGGAGTTTAATTTTGGTCTTCTTAAAAATCTTCCACTTCTCTCATTACCCTCATGTTTTCCTCTACATCTTGAGCAAAAGGAACATCTTCATAAGAGCTGTTACTCCATTATCTATCATTACCACCTCTGTTTCCATGGACTGATTTTCGCCTTAGTTGTTGCTGTTAGCTGCCACTGAATTAGCCCCCAACTGACTGTGACACCATGCACAATGGAATGAAATACTACCCCATCCTGCACCATCTCCATGCGCTTGTGGATCATACTGTTGTGATCCACAGAGTTTTCATTGGCTGATTTTCAAAAGTAGATCCTCAGGTCTTCCTAGTTCATCTCAGTCTGGAAGCTCCACAGAAACCTGTTCTGCATCAAGGCAACACTCAAGCTTCCAGTGACAGAAGGGGGTAGCTGCACATGATGTGCATTTGCTGAAATTGAATCCAGATCTCTTGCATAGAAGATGAAAATTCTACCACTAAACCTGGTTTCCTGCTTCTTTACATGACTGGTAATTTTTTTTTAGACACTGGCCATTATGAATTTTCAATGTTAGGTGCTCTTGGAGTTCCCCTCCCTGCACTGGGGCCTGGATAGTGAAACTGGGCAACTGTAGGGCTCATGTTTTCATCTCCCTTCACTCAGGAGTCACAATAATAAGCTGCCTTTTGTCCAATGTCTGCAAAAAGTTGTTTAATATATTTTGTCTAGTTTTCTAGTTCTTTATAATGTGTGTGTATTTATGTATGTATGTCAGGGTATGTGGGAGCAATTCCTATAGCAGTTAATATTGCATAAATAGAAACGATACTATCTTTGCCTACATTCTTGAGTTGAATATCTCATTTACCTTTAGTCTTTTTCTTATTCAAATGAGTTACGTTAAGGCTTCCTTAAAGTGATACTCCTTCTGAGTATCACTTTAGCTGAATCTCCCAAGTTTTGATATGTAGCAATTCTTTTGTCCTTAGGCCTGAATATTTTATAATTTTCTTTGGATTTCTTCTATAAGTAATATTTTTTCACAAGCTTTAAAAAAACACCATAATTTCTTTTTGATTTCTAGTTTAAATTGCACTGTGGTTGAAGGATGGAATTAGTAGGGACGTTCATTCTTTGGAATATGTTGACAGCGTTCTTTGTGGGCCTACAAAATATTCTATTCTTTGTTGGGTTAATGGTTCTATGTATATCTACTTCATCAAGTATGTATATAAGTATATATAATTTTTTATTTCCTTTTTCTATTATTTTTGGAGAGGAGTGCACATTATGTGTGTTTGTCAATTGCTTCTTTTAAATCTACTGGCTTATCTACATTTTTGAGATTATATTATTAGATGTATAAAAATTCATAGCTGTCATCTTTATAAAAAGTTCCTTTTATCATTCTATGTATTCTATATAGTCTTTTATCTTATCATTTATAACTTAAATTCTATTTTATCTCATATTAATACCCCTATACTACCTTAGCAGGGAACTCGGTAGCATAGTGCCTAAAGCACTTGACTGCTAACCAGAAGGCTGGCAGTTAAAACCCACCAGCCACTCCTCGAAAGGAAGGTTGGGCAATCTACTTCCGTAGTGATACCATCTTGGAAACCCAAGGAAGGGTCACTATGAGTTGGGTCTGACTCAATGGCAGTGAGGTATATTACCTTTGTTTTGGTTAGTATATGTCAGGTACATTTTTTGCAATCCATTTATTGTCAACTTTTCTATATAATTTGGCTAAAATGTGCTTCTTATACATAGCATATTACTGGAATAATTTTTAAAATTGAAATCTGAAAGCTTAACATGTTTACATTTATTTAAATTTCTGATATAGTTGGACTTATTTCTGACATGCTATTTTGTGTTTTCTTTTAATCATGATTTTTCTTTGCTTTTTTCCATTTTTTTCTGCCTTCTACTGTACTAATCGAGGTGCCCTGTTGGCTTGTGCCTAAGGCACTTGACTGCTAACCAGAAGGATGGCAGTTCAAACCCACCAGCCACTCCTCGGAAGGAAGGTTGGGCAATCTACTACCATAGTGACACTGCCTTGGAAACCCAAGGAGGGGCCACTATGAGTCGGATCTGACTCGATGGCAGTGAGTTTGTTTTTTGCTTCTTTACTGTACTAATCAAATTTTCATAATTCCCCTGTCTCATCTTATATACACCATGTCTCTCAATTTCTCTTTCACCTTTTCAATGTTTTTACTAAGTGGTGTGATCTCCTCCATATCTATCTTCCAAATATACTAATTCTCTTTTCATCTGCATTTATCTATTCTTCAATGTGGTCAACTTTCTATCTATCAATCTGCTCTATCTATCATCTCTGGTTCCTTTTCAATTCTGCCAGTTCTTTTTTTCCATACTGATCAGTTCTTGACTTATAGTTTCTATTTATTCCTTTAAATTTTTGAACACATAGCTATTTTAAAGTCTCTTTCTTACTGGTCTAGTATCTCTATTTCCCAGGTTATAAATTTTTCCATTTGCTAATCTGATCACGTTGCCTCAAAGTAGTTCATTTCCTTGAGATAAAAAATTTGTAAATTTTTTAAACCATGATTTCATTTTCTATATAGGTTGTTTTCCATGGGATTCCTAAGCATCCTAGTTATAGAAGCCTTTCTTTGAGACAGTTTCACACTTGCCTTTTCCAAGACCTTAGGAGTGTCTCTGCTTTTTGGGCCAGATATTCATTTTAATTTTGTAGTTCAGTGTCTTCACCATTTTATTCATGCTAAATGTAACCACATACCTCCATGTTGTATAGACTTGGTATTTTAATTTCTCTGAGGTGACTTTTTCTTTCCAGTGGCCCAGGGGAGACAGGAAACTCAATGATATTTCCCTATGCTTGTGGGCATAATTTCTATGGCTCTTCTTAATCTCCCAACTTTACATCAGTTCTATTTATTCACATGCAGGAGGCCTCTAGCCTGGACTCTCCTTCCCATATGGTTATTATTCCTCAGCCCATAAGCATTAAGGCATCTAGTTCTGAAATTCCCATAAACAGTTTTAGTTTTAGTTCATACTTACTATTGAATTTAAGTTCTTTTTTGTTTGTTTTGTTTTTGGTATTGGAAGATTTTTTCATTCTTGTTTTGAGCTTGTTGTTATGTGTCATCGAGTCGGGCACAACTCATAACGACCCCTCCTTGGGTTTCCGAGGCAGTATCACTATGGAAGTAGATTGCCCCATCTTCCTTCCGAGGAGTGGCTGGTGGGTTTGAACCGCCAGCCTTCTGGTTAGCAGTCAAGTGCTTTAGGCACTATACTACCAGAGCTCCCAGTGTTCTGAGCTTAGTTTAGTTATATATTCATTTAGTAATTTTCACCCTTAATTTCTGGGTGGTCTTTTTTTTTTTTTTTTTGAGTGGGGAAGATCCAAGATCTTTTGGCAGGTTTTCAACCTGCCAGATTGACTAGAAATCAATACCTCCTTTAACTTCTGGTCTAGCAGGCTCTTTTTTGATTTACTTCTTCCTCTAGACTAAGATGCAATCAATTCTATTTTCATTTCAGTTGCAAGTGGGGAACTGAGAAACTTACAGCTCAACAAAAGTTTTCTCCAAAACAGTATGGTATAGGAAGGAAAAGATAAGATTAATTTCAAAAATGACTTCCTATGGGATAAAAAAAATTAT